CCACGAGTTGCAGCTAAATTTCAAGCATGTTCGAAACCAAGAGAAAATGAGCTCATTTTGAGCGACAATCGCGCTTCAAAAATCGCAAGTGTAAACGTGCCTTTATAGATATAAATTTGAGTTTATGAGTAATAAACACATTCAGCATGCATGGGCTCTTGCAGATACGAATTTTACTTTCTGTCGTGTTTAAATGATACAGTTAATCCAATTAATGTTGTTCATACAACTTATTTTCATATATCACACTTTTTCATACTTTTTCTTTGGAGGAATATTCAACATTAACTGTTCCAAAACTTCGATACTTTACAATGATCTCAATGAAATTTAATTTGTTATTTATCTAAAATTTATAATCAAAATTCTTCCTGGGAATTTAAAAAAAAAATCTTTATTTAACCATCTCTCCAATCCTGTCTAAACAGTTTCTGTGCAACACTATTAAAGTATAAGAGGTGTTGAGCAGGGTGTAAAAAGCATGTTATTTATCGATCAAGGACTCTGAATCACACCTTTATGGTGGTTACAATTCTGGTCATCGCTTCCTTGGAACTACTAATGAAATTGAACAATAGCCCTTACAGTTAACATATGCGATTTTTAAATGTGTCTCGTGCCGGCGTGGAGGTACTGCTGAAAGCCTTTTAATTAGTTTACAATATACGTTAACGGCCCACGATCGAGTTTAGATGGTCCAATAACTATAAACAAGAAGGTATAAAAAAAGATCACATGCTTGTCCGTATTCTATCGTTTACATGGTGAAAACGATTTTTATGATTCACGTTTTTAYTCTGCAAGTGGACATTAAGGTTTCTGTGACAAGAGTCAGTATAATGTATAGATAAGTTATGCACATGATAAAACCCTGACGTATCTTTGCTTGTTGCATTTGAATAAAAAATGCATCTCATGTAGCAAAAGTCTCAGTAAGTCGTCTCTGATCAGACAGTTCCTACAGCTGTGTAGGCGAGACGGTCATTGATGTAATTAGCCTTATACATACTAGGAGGTTTGGACGGGGGRKTCTCAATGTCGGTAGTCAGTTAAAATTTCAAGCATTTGTCGCTAGTCAGTTAAAATTCTAGGCATTTGTCAGTAGTCGGTTATTTAAAAAAAGTTGATAAACATTAAGTTTAAATGCACCTAAAACGGTGCTTTATACCAATAGAATTCTTTCTAAAATGCCAACAATTGATTCCTTGAGTCTTGATTGGTCAATTGGATGCCCCTCAAAGTTTTAGAGTGGCTCATCACAACTTCAAGAAGCCATTCCAATTTCGAATGTAGTTGCTTGAAAAATAAAAAAAAGCTTGTATTCACGGAGCTAACATCTTTGAATATTGGAAAATGTCGCCAATCAGTAAATTTGTTAATGTCGGTAGTCAGCAAATTTTGTTCAAATTTGTCGCTAGTCARTAGTTATTTTGTCCATTTGTCGCTAGTCGGTTAACCCCATTCAGACCCTGAGATTAGTCTGTGACGACACGAAACTCACGAATAAGAAATAGCGTATTCAGGGTAAAATGATATGTAAGTTTGTCCGTTTAAATCGAATCAAAAACCAAATGATTTGATTTTAATTCAAAAAAATGCCTAATTTCAGACCAGAAGAATGTTTTAGGGACAAGTTTTCGGCCCTTCACCAAATACTTACTMGTAAACTCTACCTTGTTCAAAATCGTTTTTTTTTTAGTAACGTCATTATTGATCTTTCTGATTCGAGATGACTTTTCTAATTCTACGATCACGAACTAGGGGGCTTKTGCCCAGACCTCCCGGTATGGAAAAGTCGTCCAATGAATTTCTAATAAAAAGTAAATAAACTGCATGCAATGACGCACCATTTGCTACATTCTCTCAGTCATTCTTTTCTTTTCAATTATCACATTAAAATTTAATCACAGCGTCTAGTTTTATCGAGAGTWGTCCTTCTTAGATCTTTTTGGACAGTTGATCAATGATTTGAGTACTCGATTCATGCGTGAACAAAAAACAAACTAACAATTAATACAAAAAACGAGTGCTTGGTTTTGCAGACACTCTGACTTAGGAATAAACAAAACACTTTAAACGAACCGAACCGGATAATCAATGGGAATTGTTTTTTCCTCGACATGTACACAGTCTTTTGTATAATTGGCGTCATCTTAACTCCTTTAACACCAAGACAATTGGTCACGCGTCACGAAGGAAGCTTAACATATAAATATTTTATCATCTTTTGGATTGTGGGACTGGCAAAAAGGAAGTGAAAAGAATACATTATAATTTAAGTATCGTTATAGTAAAAACGAGTTTGGAAACAGGAGACGAAAGCACACCAAAGCAAGGTTAGTTATTTTTTGAATATACTTCGGCTCCCATCAAGTCATYTTCATAAATGATATTTTTCACAATTATTATAAGTTTTATATGAATTATATTATGTTCACAAATTGGGATCTCACTCACAGGTTGGAGATTAAGCCATAGAAATCATTTATGAATGTAAATTTACACGAACTGGTAGTTTTTGGTTATTTATGGCTTATTTTAAAAACTAAAAAAGTTCTGTGTAAGTTTAGTTTGGCTACTAGTTTAATACAAGTCTTTTTGTTATGTAATCAATACCTCACAGGGAGTTTTTGGCAGAATGTCAGTTCACTTTTACAAAAATGATCGAAGAAAATAATTTGCTATGCACTATAAATATAAACACTGATATTTCGGGTAATCAAGAATCGATCAAGAAGCTCATACGAAAATTTTAACTTAAGTGAAAGCACAATATTTTTCTAGCAATTTTTTAAGCAAATATTGGCTTTCCTAATAGGAAATTCAATATAACGATATACACAATATAATTAAGCTACTTTGTGGCCAGGTTAGGTGTTCAGATTAATCATTTGTTTGTTGAGTAAAATCGAGGAATAGAATTACAATTACAATAAATATTACAATTTCCATATTTTTGGAAATGATAATGAAGGAAATCTTTAGATTGCTATAATGCTGTTATTCAGTTRTACAATACAATATTTGTGGCTCACAAATGAGGGATTATGAAAATCAAGTCGATCAATAAACATGGCAACTGTCTTTCAGGCTTTTTTTCAAAAGATAGTGAAACCACAGCGATATTTCGGTGTATTTCCCCTCCCTAAAGCCTTTAGCAAACAAAAATAAGAAATCCTAATATTATATCAAACTAAAAGTATATCAGTCTACTCATGGAAGCAATATTTGTGGCTCACAAATGAGGGATTATGAAAATCAAGTCGATCAATAAACATGGCAACTGTCTTTCAGGCTTTTTTTCAAAAGATAGTGAAACCACAGCGATATTTCGGTGTATTTCCCCTCCCTAAAGCCTTTAGCAAACAAAAATAAGAAATCCTAATATTATATCAAACTAAAAGTATCTACTTTACAAGTGTTTATTCAAATATTTTTTTTTATGTTTATTTTCTCTGCTGGCTTAACAATGTCACCATATTTACGTGGTTTATGCAGACGACACGGCTTTTTGTATTACATTGCTTGTGAAGGTGCTCCGTGCTTATCAACGATTTGGTCGTTAATAAAATCCTTACAATRCGTTAAGGGATTAATCCTGAATGARTAGTCATAATTAATCAAATCTGTCAAGCAAAGGGATTTSAAAAACGAACATTTAGCTYTTTCGTTACATGCCGCAAAGTGAAATAAGGTACCATCTGTATCTGTCTTGGTTGTGCAATCGCCCACATTCAGACAAGAATCTTGACTGTTGCCAAGCGCGAGTACACCACATCAAACTTTGTTATCCTTTCTGCTTGTTTAGWGCGTTGTGAATTTTAATTGATTTTCTTTTTAAATCAGGCGTTTCAATACGTCTTAGCTTTTTGTACGGAGTTATTGTTAGAATTAATTAGGCATTCTTTGGTCTTTGCCTGGTAATTGAATCGTGATAGCTGTTTAAGAGATGTTTAATTCCGTAAATCAAGATGTTCAGACGAATATTATAGTTGCCAGACTGAGCTAAGCARAAATGGACGTCGCTMCCAGAGAAATCCAAATCGGTAAGCARTTTTCAATCAGTATACTTTTCAAATTTTAAGTTCTGATAAGTTGAACAGCCTAAATCGCAATATATCTATTGAATTATCTCAGTATAGTAGTGTGGTGATAAGAATGCTTTCCTATCAAGCACTGAGCTATTGTAGCTTAAAAGATTCAATTTTTATAATGAAAATACAGTTAAGTGTAGGTAGCATACAAAACATTTTCTAAGAAAGGAATGGKTTTCGTCGGCTTTGTTTTTGCACCGTTCTTTGATGCGTTTCTGTGGGCAATATGCATGACTGCCAAAGCATGGGTATCACRACGAAATTGATGGTTTACAATGATGAGAGTGGTATCGTGGAATTGAATGAAAAAATGAATTAGAATCACGACGTGAGTTCAATGCCACGCCAACGTTAATAAAATTAAGAGTATTTAATCCATAATTAAGCATTCATATTCCTTTCAGTTCACCTTGTAACAGTACCTTTTTCAAAAAAAAACCATTAATAAACCTGTGTAATAATTATTTTGATATCATTTTCTGCCAGTACAAACACCTATACATTAAATATCAAACATTAAAACACTTGGTTTAAATATATGAAAAGGCGGCAAACATCTCAAAGGTTATGCGCGCAAAATTTTCATTACATTTATTTGACAAATCTATGTCTAATTTCACCAGAGTAAAAGCTGTTGATTGTACCATGGAACTGTGGTCGAAGGGATATTAAAACCAAGGATTCTAACGTTGTTATGCTATACATAAGTTATCATCTTAATGAAAGAGTCGTACACATATAAATACATACCAGGATTCTAATAATAATATTGAACGAAACGGTACCTGTTGTGATCAGGGACAATAACAAAAACAATAGTCAGTTTCAAACGTTATCACCGACAAGAATTATCAAGTTCATCCATCTCGGATTATGGACAATCTCAATTTTTCCCGCAAAACAAGAATGAGGTGTTTTTTTGATTAACACAGTTTTTGACATTTCATTCATAGATGGTTTGGACCATTTAACCCCAGAAAACACAATTATGGCTGCCCGACCACATGAGATTTTCACCGCAGCCAAAAAAGGCGACAAAAACAAGGTTGARCAGCTACTGGATGGAGGAGTGGAGTTGAACTCCAGAGATAAGGTATGAGGTGTAAATATACTTCATATAAATGAACTGTGACCGTGATTTTAGAAATAGGTTGAGAGTTTAATGCATGTCTGTTCAGATGTCGTATAAATATATACTTACAAAACAACAAGGCAGACACTAATAATAGGAACTCGCCACGTATGATTGTTCGCGATATAAGTGCAATATTAAAGGTTTTTTTACCAATTTACCCACAATATTTACAATACATAAAAAACCTTCCTAAGGAGTAAATATTTAAACTACCACACGCATAAATTCTTTCTTGAAAACCAGGACTATTTACTGAAATTCGATTCTCAGAATTCGCACATAGAAAAATTGCAATTGCCGGCAAATTGTGGTGTTTGTTGGTTGTTGACTCTTTGCTGTCTCTAGGCGCCCGGAAGCCTATCAAAGAGACATATAAATCCGTAATATGGTGCACTTAAAATCGACCACCACGTTATGGTTTTGACTCATGCTATAGCCATAATGAKCGCTTGTTAAAAGCTGTGGTGACTGTTGAGTACACTGTGGCATTGGCGAATCGCACAACGTTACCAAATCCAGACGGTTAACTTAAAACTGTCTACCTTTRATATCCAATGCTAAGATTTGTTTTGAGATAAAGCTTAAGCGTGTTGTTTTTCAAAGTTTTTTTCTTGTTTTTGCACTAATTTATGCTTAAACCGTAGTCAAAAATAGATCAATATATTGATTGAAATAACGAAACAAATTCTATATTTCCATCATTTGCATTTGAGCCGTTTGTTTACTCAATCAATGCCTATAATGTCTGCCTAGAGCTAGTAATCTATCGTTGTTGCTACGGGAAATGTAGTGCTTCAGTCGACTATGTTTCAAATCACCACAGTCTACTGAATATGTCACGTGATAACCAAATATAGAAATCAAAAATTCAAAAGTTGAAAAAGTACATAGCGCGTAGTATTATTTGGGTAGGCAATTCAAAGGGATTTAAGCGGYGCCTTTTTGAACAAGAAGCTTGTTAATATATTTTTTTTATTTTGGCTTTTGCAAAGCAAAATGGTGGCGGTATCTTGGTTGCCCGCGCGCGGTGAGGAAGATCTCATTGGCTCGCGAGTCAATTAACGTAATGTGTGAGGATGAAAATCAAACGGCCTCAARTCTCTCACACTGGCAGTGAGAGAAAAGGGCGCTAGAGTTAAGTGAAATCTTCCTCATCGTGTGCGGCGGGGTTAATTAGCTAGTGAGCAGAGAAATCAGTTTCACGGTCATGTAGCGGCACACCACAGAATTGAATAACAAATAACAGTAATGTAATTATAATAAAAATGTTGGTGGCACTGATGATTATCTATTYTACTGTATTTATGATCGTCGCTATGTTTAGTAGCTGAACACTGTTTGAGAGTACTGAGTTTTTGATAAAAATGGTAAATTAACAGCAGCTATAACAACAAAGAAGACATTATGTGCAATAGTAAAGCATTGTACGCTCAATGGTCGTCTCTCTGCCATACAAATGCACCCATAACCTTTCAAGAAGACGCAGGGAACTATTGTTCTTATACTAGACTCAAAACAGATCTAATGCGTAAAAAACACTGACATACTCCCCTTAGATAAGAAAACGTACGAAGACYGTTACCCAGTTTTAGAACGCATGCAATAATGGAATTTACATTATCTCATACCAAAATGTTGCGTCTAGAGCGATCATCTTGGCCACGATGGAGCGGTGAACTATGTATCGGAGCTGCGTTGGTGTTTCTAAAGAAACAGTTGTGTAAAAAGATAAATTTAACACCGTAAAAAGTAGGAGAAACAACTTACTGACGTTACAGACGTTAGTCCTTCGTCTTTTTACTCCGACGAAGGATTAAGGTCCGAAACGTCAGCAAGTTTTTTCTCCTACTACTTGTTTACGATGTTAAATTCATCTTTTTATACAACTGCATCTTGGASGATGTCTGATCTTAGCAATTGAGCAATTTATATTGTGTTTCGGTCTCTTCTTTTAGATTCGATTTAAACATTTAGTATGTTTTGAAATAATACAAATTACATTATTTCTTCGCAGGGGACTCAACATGGCAGCGGCCATGAACTTGTCAATTTCTCTTGTTTTTTGTTGTCATATCATTGTCTACTGAAATTAGAAATATTTAGTTCTTCACTTTACTTGCTCCATATAGCCGAATTGTTGTTCATTTCGTTTTTACTTGTTGCATATCAAAATGAAAACCAGTCAACTACAGTGTTTCCGTAAGTGTGAAGTCCCTTTTGTATAGAAATGTAACTTAACTTTAAGGACTGGAGAAAAATTTTGTCGGAGAGTAAGTTTGAATGGTGGACATGGAGGAAATGTTATACCTATGCGCTATAAACGAAGTACGTTCTCTTAAAGAATATATATTTATACAATTGAAGCGAAACCTCCCCCCTATATTTCAATGTTGACAGTCCTCAATGTAAAATAAGCAGGTCAAGAACCAACAAGGAACCATGCACTGAATTGGGGATGGGCCTAAAGAAAGGCGAAAAGAGAGTGCCTTTATGGAGTTTGTAGTTTACTCGCTACAATAGGGTTTGTCCCAAATTAGATGACAGTTTCACTCGCTATTTCTATCTCTTGTACTCTTAGCCTAAATTTGTTTGTTTTTTAATTGTTAGGATGGCTGGACAGCCTTACACCACGCCACCGACTCGTTAAGTGATTCTACAGTGCGTTTCTTGCTGACGAGAAGGGCAAGCACAYTAGCAGCCACTACTGTAAGTATAATGGTGTGTCTGACAATAGCATTTAAGGTGGCTCGCTTGTTTTTAATATTCATGCAATTTTAAACGCGAGAAGCTCATTAATTACTTATACCATCWTCTCATCAGTATCGCATTTAWATTCAGTCCTAAGCGAACTGGTCTCATGACTTAATGGTTAAGTTTAGGAAGRTTCTTTCCTTCTTCCAATTCTTCCTTTTTTCGAACTTCCGGTACTAGTACCATCATGCTCTTCAATATTTTAATATTAAAAAAAAAATCAAGTTTCTTTGGCTTGCTAAGATTACATGGTGCTATTGCTGACATTTCGCAATAAACATGACAGCTGCTCTCGAGATACTCGAGCTCCCTGCCTCTAACCAAACGAGCTCSGAACATTCAATGATGYRAGTGTATTGGAATRTTGGAGGTCGTTCGGTTGGAGAGAGGAGCCTGAAACTATGGAAARTAGGGGACGGGAACAAAATGACCAAATTAAATGAAGTTTTAGAGTTCGATTTTTGGTATTAGCCTATTGRATGCAGTGCGCAGTGCTGTTGTCTGTTGTCTTTTTGAATTCTTATACAATACCAGACACTGTTGACTTATGAAATCGACAAAGTATCATCTTTTGAAATGCTGAAACTTGGAGGTTGACAAAATCTTCAGCAGTTTCAGCATTTTATGCTTCTTTTGAATTCATCAGAAATACACTAAGGGATGCTCAAGGGCACTAAGCAAAAATTAATTGTATAAATTGTACGGCGCATTGAGATTGGCTTTAATATAATCTTTTTAAATGTGAAAAACTAATATTCTTGATTCTTTGAAAGAAAAAATCTCATTTTCTATTGAGTGATAAGATTGAATTGGTTATTAATAAATGTCTCTTCACCAGGACTCTGGAAAAATTCCTCTACATATCGCGTGCACAAAGTCATCTGTGAACGCTGCTGGGATTGAGATTGTCAAATCTCTCGTAAGGGTTGCTGGGAAAGAAGCAAAGCTTATGGTGGATAAGGTAAGAAAACGATGACAATAAAAAATCAATAATTAACCCCCTAATTAGTAGATAAGAAAACACAAATGGCATAYCACGCAATAATAATGCTTTTTGCACGATAGCGTCCATTGCAGCTTATACAAAAYGKTTTTCACCATTTTTGGTGCACAAATTGGGGAAACTATATAAAAATGCAAAGCATTCGGATCTTAATGTGACGAATTTATAAAAACGGTTAGAAGAACAAGCTAAATTGAGTTTGATTCATTGAAATTGAAGTAATTGTACTGATATTTAATTACATGCACATTGAAATAGATTTTCTTTAAGATTTTGWTAATGCCGCAGACTTAATATGAAAGATTATTGCTAAAAATAGAAGTTCTCAATAAAAAATTGAAAAGCCAAAAATAAATGAAAACATCTGCTCAAGTGAGGATCAAATAACTATCAWAATACATGAATGAATAAATTTATATTATTTTATTTTTTCTGTTGTTTTCTTTTTCGATACATTTTTATATTGTTGCGTAATTAATCAAATTTACATCATTTTGGACACTTACATCATATTTACAACAAATTTACAACCTTTAAAAAGCGCGATCTTTTCTAGTGTTCATGTAACAATATAAAAATGTATCGAAAAAAGATATGGGCACAGCCGCCACCCCCCGGGAAGGACCGGGGAATCAACACATTACAGAACTACAGGCTGGAATCTAACACATTTTAACAGGACCAGTCTTATGCGAGGCGAGTGAATTGAAATCTAAATCAAATGAAATGATCAGTTTGACCGACTTTTTCTTGTATCTTAAGGCCGGAACATTTAACCTTGTTAAAATGTTTATTCGCCCGGTATTTCSAGGATTTTGGAGAGTAGTAGGGGGAGGTAGCAATAGTTTCAATTTKCTGATTCATAATTAGGCAATCAAATATTTACGAATTATACAAAGCAAGGCAATGTATTATTGGAAAAAGGCATATATCACGAAATATCATTTTTTTAAATCATTGAAGGAAGGTTTTATGTGAGTACTAGGTAAAACGGATAATAGATTAATCTGGAAATGAAGGGATGATTGTATGCAGGCACACTAGGGCATTGATAATAATAGTTTTGAAGGGGAATGCAGCTCAAAAAATACTGAATTGTCGAGATGCACGCTGTCCAGCTTTTGTAGCGACATTCCTCAACTCGTAGACTATAAAAGGGCATATAATCTGTCTTGATTTCTCTTCAAAGGTAGTATTATCTGTAGTATTATTTTCAGAATTGTAAATGATTCACGTGACGCAGYGTGCACGTTGAGATCATATTGCTGAGTAAGAGGCGGTCATTAATGATGTTGATGATCGCCTAATGTTTCTACATTAATTCTTTCATGCCTTTAAAACCTTTTATGGGGAACGTCTGGAAATGTGAAATATTCAGTATTACGTCACACCAAAACATTCTGCTGAGGATTATCTGCTCCAGATGGGAACAAAATGATTGCAYATTAAAGAAAATGTACATGAGCAATCATTGATACATGGCATAAAACAAAACTATATGAAATTTAGGTTCAAGTACACTGTTTCCKAGCATTTATTCCCACTGTAAAATGTTGTGACGTCATTGTGCAAGTATCCCTGCAGAATTCAGTCCCCTTCTATGAGATATGGACAAACACTAMGCTTTAAGTTTACATACTTTTGCAATATTAAGCTATAGATCATTAAAGCCCTAGTCGTAATCTCTATATACTTATGTATCTTACTTCATAAATTCCGATTTACATGGTTATTAATTACTTGAATTTATGAACGAATTTTAGCCTCTAAATGATTAAAATTGCTTCAGTTGTTACATGTTGCTTTAGTTGTACACCAAAAATAAGCCGTGCTAAAGGTATAATACTAGCTAAAAAAATGATATCACTTCTTAAACTTATGTTTTCTATTTTTGTAATTACGAACGATAAACATTTG